TTTTAACTAATTTAAAAATTTTGATTCTACCCGTCAAAGCTTGTCTATACCAAATTAGATCTAAAAGATTGTTTCAACCACCAATTTACATACTAATACTTCTGGACTATTCTAGGTGATTTTATTTATTTATTTAATTTATTAGGGGTGTCACTAGTTAATAAAATTATATAGGTTTTCAAGTGTACACTTCAATAATAATCTGTATGTTGTACTGTGTATTCACCACCCTGTCAAATCTCCTTCTATCACCATATATTTGACCCCCTTTACCCTTGTCTTTATCCCTCCTTTCCCTTTAAACTGTTGTCTGTGTCTATCAGTTGTTGTCTTGTTCATTTGCTGCTTTCAGTTTTAATCCCACATGAGTGAAATCATGTGGTTCTCAAATTTTTCTGCCTTATTTTGCTTAGCATGATTATCTCAAAATCTATCCGTCTTGTCACAAATGGCAGTATTTCATCTTTTCTGATGGCTGAGTAATATTCTATTGTACATGTGTACTACATCTTCTTTATGCAATCATCTGTCAAAGAACACTTTGGTTATATTCATGTCTGAGCCACTGTGAATGTTGCTGCAATGAACACTGGGGTACATATATCTTTATGGATAAATGTTTTCAAATTTTTTGGGTAAGTGCCCAGGAGAAGGATTGCTGAGTTAATTCTAGTCTTAATTTTTTGAGGAACCTCCACACTGTTTTCCATAGTGGCTGTACCAATTTACATTCCTATTAGCAGTGTATGAGAGTTCCCCGCAACCTCTCTAACACTTGTTATTACTTGTCTTGTTGGTAACAGCCAATCTAACAGGTATGAGGTGGTATCTCATTGTGGTTTTGATTTGCATTTCCCTAACTGCTGGTGAAGTTGAGCATCTTTTCATATATCTGTTGGCTGTTTTTAAGTCTTTCTGGAGAAGTGTCTGTTTAGGTCCTCTGCTCAATTTTTAAGTTCTTTACATATTTTAATTAGCCTCTTATCAGAGACACTGTTTGCAAATATCTTTTCCCATTTGGTTGGTTGCCTTTTTGCTTTGCTGATGGTTTCTTCTGCTGAGCAGAAGCTTTTTAGTTTGATATAATACCATTATTTTTGCTTTTGCTTTCCTTGCCTTTGAGGTTAAATTCATAAAATCCTCTTTAATTCCAAGTTCCATGAATTTAGTACCTATGTTTTATTCTATGCAGTTTATTGTTTCAGGTCTTATATTTAGGTCTTTGATCTATTTTAATTTTGGTGATGATAGACAGTAGTCCAGTTTCATTCTTTTGCATGTGACTTTCCAGTTTTTCCAGTAACATTTATTGAAGAGGCTTTCCTTTAACCATTGTATGTTTTTGGCTCCTTTGTTGAATATGATTTGCCCATATATATGAGGTTCATTTCTGGGCTGTCAAATCTGTTCCATTGGTCTGTGTATCTGTTTTTCTGCCAATACCATGCTGTTTTGATTACTGTCACTTTGTACTATGATTTGAAGTCAAGGAATGTGATACCTCCCATTTTCTTCTTTTTTATCAGGATTGCTTTGGCTATTTGGGGTCTTTTGTGGTTCCATACAAATCTGATGATTTTTTTGGTTCTATTTCTTTAAAACATGCTGCTGGAATTTTGATGGGGATTGCGTTAAATCTGCTTTGGGTAATAAGGTTATTTTAACTATGTTGATTCCTCCAATCCATGAACACAGAATAGTTTTCCATTTTTTTGTCTTCTCAATTTTTTAAAATAATGTCTTGTAGTTTTCAGGGTATAGGTCCTTCATGTGCTTTATTAAGTTTATTCCTAGCTATTTATTTTAATGTAAAAGAATTTTTTTTCCATTTGTTTCTAAAATTTTATTGTTAGTATATAGGAATGCAATGGATTTTTGTATATTGATTTTGTATCCTGTGACTTTATTATATTTGTTTAGCTTTGAGACATATTTCTAAATGAGTTCTAAGTGGTTTCCAGATTTCTTAAAAAAATTTTTAAACCATTTTCGCAATCAGAAAAATACACCTAAACACATAATTTTTCAAACTAAGGAAATAGCATTAATTCTGTATTCATGTATTTAAATGAAAAGTAAAATAAAATATGTTTCTTAAAGTTTCTTAAATTAATGAGGAATTATTTAGTCTGATTTTTCAACTTCCATTTTATATCCTAAACTTTAGATTATATTTAAAAATATAAACACTTTTCAGAAATATCCAACAATAACAAAAAATCTGACTGAAAGCTACTGGAAGTTTTCTATCTTCACACGAAGACTTTACCAAAAAGGCTACAGGACAGAGAAATGCGTAAACAGGTTTTGTAAAGAGGCACCCTGGCTGAAAAGACAAGATTCATAAGAACAAAGTGAGACAGTTATGAAGTAACTGGGATGGGAAAGAGATAACATTATGTGAACTCTTTGGTTATAGCCTTTGTTTATGTTAACAGAGAGCTTAAAATTCACTAGGTACTATTTCAATATGAATAAATTGCAAATGCACTGTTGGTGAAAATAGTAAGTTGTATAAAAACATGGTATGACATGATTTGTATGTTTTTAAGAGACGATAAACCAAAGGTAATGTTTTGTTTTTGTTTTTGTTTTTGTTTTGAGATTCATATAAACGGCATTTGAGGAACATTTGTGATCCCACCACCTTTTCACGTAACTCACTGGTCTTCTTGCATGCCAAGCTCTTTCACAATTACAAGCATTTATTTATATTTTTCCCTCAGGAATGGCCTTTCTCTTTATTTTACACCTATGAAATCCTACACACCCTAGATGGTTCATATCAAATGCTGATTCTTTATACTAAATCCTCTCCCGATCTCCTCATAACACCAGAAGTAATTTACTTCTCTTTAATGAGTAGCACTATTTAAACTTCTAGTGTCATTAATTATAAGATGAAGCAGAATAAAATATTTATAATTTACTTAACCACTAGATTCTAATGCCTTTGAGAGCAGGGACTGTCTCTTGTTTCTATGTTCTTAAAAAAATGACTTGCAGAAAGAAGCAATCAAATTCATTAATTCAATAAGTATATAGGAAGTACTAATTCTGTGTCATTTCTGGATTATTCCTATTGTCCTATTTTGATATTTTAAATCAATATTACACATATTTTATTATTATATATTGTGGTTGTTTTAAAATCTGCTAAGGCAAGCCCCTATCTCTGTATTGCTGTTTTATCATATTTATTATGAATATTTTTTCAAATGAACTTTCCTACCACTCGTTCAACTTATACAAACTATATTGGAATTTTAATTGATATTATTACACTAGGCCACTTGGGTTACCTTATAGTTTTTAATATACTTCCCCAGTAAGAATGAAAGTCCTTTATTTCTACCATTTAACTTCAGTAATAATCTTTATTAATCTGTTTATTCATCCATTATTTATTCATATCTTTATGCCGTTATATTTCACAAAGAGGTTTTACAGATACCATATTAGATTAATATCCAGATTTTACATTTTTTGTTTTGTTTATATGAATAAGATTTCTTTATCCACATATATTATGGCTGATTATCGATAATCATAGTAGTCATACTACAATCATAGTCATGACAGTCACGAAAGTCCAAAAAATTTTTATTAACTTCCTCTAGAGCTCATTTTCTGAAACACAAATTATGTCCTAGTCCATTTGGGTCACTATAACAAAATACCAGAGACTGAGCAGCTTATAAACAACAGAAATTTACAGTGTCTGGAAGCTGGGAAGTCTAAGAAAACGTCACCAACGTGGTCACATTTTGGTGAAGGTCTTCTTCTTGGCACATAGCCTATGACCTCTCAGTGTATCCTTGTATGGTGTGAGTGCCTAGGAATATCCTTAAAATCTCTTTTATAAAGGCACTAGTCCCACTCATTAGGGATCCACCTTCATGACCTAAGTACCTCCTAAATGGCCCTCCTCTTAATACCATCATCTCTTGGGGTAAGATTTCACCACATAAATGGGGGGGAACATAAATATTCAGACATAGCACATTATATTAAATAAATTTCTTAGCCAGTTTCTTTGAATGTCCTCGATTTATATAGAGTACCCATGAATTAATAGATTTTTGTATTCCTTTCTAGTATTTATCCTTCATTATTTATGGCTCATTGTACATGGTCAGCATGTCCAATACTGTATTGCACAGAAGTGGTGACAGGGAGCACCTAATTCCCTCCTGTTTTCTCAATTTCATTAATTTTATCAGTAATGAATATTATATTTTATCAAATGTTGTTATAATGTATGTTGACATGTGGTAAACTCTATTTAGGGCTAATACCCCATTCTCATAAATTTCCTTCAAACAGTAACCACCCAATTTGTTATAACTTTGAGAACCATAACTATAAAGAATAAAATAACTTAGAAGACAGAGTTAGAGTTTGGGGTTTTTCTCCTTAAATTCCATATGATTAGGAGTACTAAGTAGAACACACTTCAGAGAAAATAATTAAATTAAATTACTGCCACTGCCTTCTTAAAAACTAAGTCTGAGCTATATAATTTAACAAACAGGAAAAATGGTATATTTATTATTTGAGTACGGTGGCATGACTTTAACAAAAATTCTCATATTTAATAATCCAAAATAACTATTTTATTATTTGTATACCAAAAGTGTATTAAAAATGGCCAACTCTGATTGAAACACTATTTTTAATTCATTATTTCTTTACTATTATACATCAAGCACTATGCTAGGTACAGAGGGATAGAATGGTAAAAAGGCCATTTTTTCCCTTACGAAACTTATTACAAACTAGTACAGGGAATGACAAACTTTTTCTATAAAGGGTCAGATAATATTATAGGTTTGGAGCAGGGGCAGCAATAGAGTCTCTGTTGCCAACTACCATTATAAAACAACATAAAATCTCATTCTGAAAACATAAACCATATTTGACTATGTAAGAATTGCTTTGTCATTTAGTATTCTCTTCTAGTTGTTTATGAAAAATTATAAGCACATTTGAAAGCTTACCTTGAGTGACTGTTTTGAGAACAATTAAAGTTGACAAAAATCTCAATGGTAAACTGGAACTCTTAAAGAAAGCAGCTGTCTTTGGTTTATTCTCCACAGAATGCTCTAAAGAATTATCTTGAATTCCCTTAGTTACTACTCCTTTTAATATGTCTTCACCCAATCTCCTCAATGTTGATGTCATAGTTGAATGCTGTCAAAAGATGTAATAAAATATTTTAGTACATTCATTCATGATCAGAAAATATAACTTTAAATACTACAATCAAATATATGAACTAAAGATAAGTCGATATTTTGCTAATCAAAAAACCAGAATTGAAAATAAGCAGGACTGAAAAGTAATAATTTTATAATCAACTTAAAAAATCTTCATAACTACATATTTTTCTACAAGTAATGGGCAGCTACCAGAATTAGGAACTTGGAGACGATAATTTTCTAAGAATAAAATTGGGAGAAGAACTGAGACAAAATTCAATTTCAAAAAATTTAAGAACATAAGATCATGATATAATTCTGGCACAGAGAAATCAAAGGAACAGAGAGACTCTACAGGTTCTTCATTACTCCACCATTACTAATAAATGGCTTATCAGGTATATCTTACAGTGTTCGCTTATGTAGTGATTATCTAGGGCCTTAATGCTCTACAGCTCAGTATGACTATAAATGTCACCATGATTTTGGTAACTTTTAACAACTTCAGAAGAATAAAATACTGTGTTAGAACCATGAATAATTCTCATGGCAAATAAACTAAAACAATAAAATGGGCAAAACAGAAATAATGGCATATAACTACCTCTAAAATAATATAGGTTCTTATGGTATTCCACATGCATGTAAGAACTGCTGCAGATGACTTAGAAGTAATTTAAAATTTTTAAATTATGACCCACTTCTCTAAACCCATGTCACTGAGGTTTAGAGAATAGTTTCCTTATCTTATGGAAATCTGTGACAAACTGGTATCCAAATCAATATTGATCTTGTAATGCAGATAAAAAGTATTAGCTTTAGAATGTCTATATATAAAACTGAAGACAGATATATTCAGATTTTATGGGAATCGAAGGCCAAAAGATCAAGTGATGAGTAGCACAAGCAGTGCAATCTAATTTAAATATGTAGTCAATAACTTTTAATATTAGGAAAAGATAATACATATATGTTTTAAAACTTTTCTACAAAAAAGTAGGATAAAATATTTCAAAATTCTACTTAGGGTTCTGGTCAAGACGGAGGAAAACGCTATGCATTCCTCCTTCCATGGCTGCATTAAAATTACAACTAAATTATGTAACAGTCAAATTATGGAGAACCATCTGAACATTAGCTGAACAGAACTCCTATAACTGGAGGTATAAAGAAGAGGCCACATCAAGAATGGGAGGGGTGGAGACATGAAACAAGCTGGTCCCACACCTACATGTTGTGGTTGAGCACTGGGAGGAGGCTGAGCATCGGGAGGGATGTACCAGCTATTGAGGTACCCCGGAGGAGTGAAAGGTCCAAACCCCACACAAAGGCTCCCTAGCCCAGAGTTCCAGTACAGGGAAGAGGAGTCTCCACAAAACCTGGCTCTGAAAATCAGTAGGGATTCTGACTGTCTGAGTAAAACGAAAGGCAGCTAGAAACCCAGAAGTCTCTCTAAAGGGCCTGAGCACCAACTCCCTGGCTCATAGGCATTCACTCTGAGTTCTAGTAGAGGAACAGCAGCTTGGGAGGTGCCAGAGACAAACAGGGAAAGACTGAGTTGTGTGGCTTCAGGGCGAGGGCTGGAGGGGCAGCTGCCACTGTCCCTTTATTAAGCCTTCCTCCTGAGCAGCCCACAAGTGGGTGCCATCTTGCCTGTGTTTGGCCCTCCCCTCCACACTTGAATCTGTATTGACCTGGTGAGATCTGCTCACTCCACCTCATAGCTCCCTGAGACTCCACCTCACCCAACTCGCAAATTACCAGTGGCAATTTTGCTGATAGGCAACCAGCCTCACCTCACAGTCTGGGCACGGAGATCCTTCCACAGACATCAATAGGCCTCAGCTCACGAACTTCAGGAGCCAGGAGCACATTTAGTGGCTGGAAACCGACTCTTCCCCAAGCTGCAATATTTCTTGAACAAATCTCAGGGGCCTATGGGTCCCAGGTGGGCAGCAGCTAGCCTGGGTGTGATCTGAGTGGCCACAGACTTAACACTGGCACCAAATCTGAATCTGCACTAACCTGGGCACATGACTTGCCCCACCCTGGTGACTCCCTGGTACCCTATACCTCATCCAACTTGTGTACCACCAAGGCTCTCAGCTGCTGATTTTTAAGAGCAGCCAAAAGGCAGCCTCAAGCCTAGGGGTACTCTGAGCCTTTTGCTGAGATACCCTAGGCCTGGTACTGGTGGCAGCCAGCCTTGGTACACTGTGGGCCTCTCCCACATGCTTCCAGGTCTAGCAAAGGCAGTGACCAATCACGGACAGCTTTGTAACTCCTACCAGTTAGCCTTGAGCTGGTCACAGGCACTGGCTGACCTTGGCCTGCACATGAACCCTTCCCAAGGGGCTTCAGGACCAACACACCTGGAGGCTTATGTTAGATCTCAACAGAGCACCACCTAATTAGCCCAGAAGCATCAAACCAAAGAGTGGTCTCAACAACCGCATGAACCCCATGGGAAAAACCCCACTCCATGGGGTCAGCCGTTCATACACTGTGGGCATGGTGAATCCTCACATCTAGTGAGCCTCAAAGTCAATCTCGCCCAATGACATGCCGACAACAATCGAGGTTCAACAACAGCAAGGGCACACACACAACCCACACAAGGGTGCACATATAACCCACACAAAAGACACTCCTGTAGCAGATGATCAGGAAAACTGAGCCACTGGACCACACAGGACACCTACTACAGAAAGCAATCTGCCTAAGACTGGGAGACATAGCAGATCTACCTAATACACAGAAATGAACACAGAGAGGCAGCCAAAGTGAGAAAACAAAGAAACATGTCTCAAATGAAGAAACATGAGAAAATGCTTGAAGTGAAGGCAAGTGACCCACCAGTTAAAGAGTTCAAAACAATGGTTATAAGGATGCTTAATGATCTTAGAGGATGAATAGATTATCTCAATGAGAACTTCAGCAAAGAGATAGTAAGCATTAAAAAAGCAAAGGAACTATTAAAAAACTGTCAAAAACAAAAAAATACAATAAGTGAAATGAAGAATACATTAGAAGAAATCAACAGAAGATTAGGTGAAGAAGAGGATCAAATCAGTGATTTGGAACACAAAGTATTAGAAAACATCCATTTGGAACAGCAAAAAGAAAACAGAACCAAAAAAAAAAAAATGAGGATAGTTTAAGGGACAGCATCGAGTTTAACGACATTCATATCACAGGAGAATAAAAAATCAAGGGATTGAGAAAATAATGACTGAAAACTTCCCGACCTGGTGGAGGAAATAGACATACAAATCCCGGAAGTGTTAAGAGTCCCAAACAAGATGAAGCTAAACAGACCCACACCAAGACACATCATAATTAAAATGGCAAAGGTTAAAGACAGAGAGAATCCTAAAAGCAGCAAGAGAAAGGCAACTAGTTACTTACAAGGGAGCTCCTGACAGAAACACCGCAGGCCAGAAGAAACCGGTATGAAGTAGTCAAAGTGATGGAAAGCAAGGACCTACAACCAATACTACCCTAACCAGCAAGGCTATTGATTAAAATTGAAGGTGAGATAAAGAGCTTCTGAAATAGGAGAATGCTTAAGGAATCCATCACCAACAAGCCAGTATTACAAGAAATGTTAAAGGGACTTCTGTAAAAAAAAGAAAGGGTAAAAAAGAAAAAAAAATACGAATAATAAAATGGCAGTAACTCTGTACCTATCAATAATCATTTTAAATGTAAATGGATTAAATGCTCCAATAAAAAAAAACTGGGTAGCTGAATGGATAAAAAAAAAAAACAAGACCCACGCATATGCTGTGTACAAGAGATCCGTTTCAGATCAAATGACACTCATTGAAAGTAAATGGATGGAAAAAGATATTTCATGCAAATGGAAATGCAAAAAATAGACTTTAAAACAAAGGCTATAATAAGAGACAAAGAAGGGCATTACATAATGATAAAGGGATCAATAAATTAAGAGGACAAAACCCTAGTTAAACACATATGCACCCAACAGAGGAGCACCTACATACATAAAACAATTATTGACTGACATAAAAAGAGAGATCAACAGTAATACACTCATAGTAGGAGACTTTAACACCCCATTGACACCAACAGACAGATCTTCCAGACAAAAAAATCGACAAGGAAACAATGGACCTAAAAGACACACTAGACTAGATGGATTTACTAGATATTTTCAGAGTATTTTACCCGAAAGCAGCAAAACAGACATTCTTCTCAAGTGCAAATGGAACATTTTCCAGAACCACATGTTAGAACACAAAACATGTCTCAATAAATTTAAGAAGACTGAAATATCGACTGTCTTCTCCAAACACAATGGTATAAAACTAGAAATCAGCTACAAGAAAAAAACTGGAAAATACACAAACATATGGAGGCTAACGAACATGCTACTAAACAATGGATGGGTTAACAATGAGATCAAGGAAGAAATTAAAAGATACCTAGAGACAAATGAAAATGAAAACACGATTCAAAATCTAAGGGACACAGCGAAAGCAGTCTTATGAGGGAAATTCATAGCAATACAGGCCTACCTCAAGAACAAGAAAAAGCTCAAATAAACAATCTAATCTTACACTTAAAAGAACCAGAAAAAGTACAGCAAACAAAGCCCAAAGTGAGAAGGAAGGAAATAATTCAGAGCAGAAATAAACAAAATGGTCTAGAAAAACAATACAGAAGATTAATGAAACTAAGAGCTGGTTCTTTGAAAGGATAAACAAAATTAACAAACCCTTAACCAGACTCAACAAGGGAAAAAAAGAAAGGATTCAGATAAATAAAATCAGAAATGAAAGAGGATAAATAACTAAGGACTTAACAGAAATACAAAGGATCCTAAGAAAATATTATGAGCAATTATATGTCAACAAAATGGACAATCTGGAAGAAATGAATACATTCCTAGAAACATACAATCTCCCAAGACTGAGTCAAGAAGAAACAGCCAATCTGAACCAACCCATTACCACTGATGAAATCGAA